GGCGGGGTGCAGCAGGGGAGTCACGGGGAGAAACTGGCTTGACCCGGATTATCCGGCAGAGTTTGGGAGAGGCACGAAGGAGCAAGGGCCTGCAGGCAGGGTGCCTGGAGGAGCACTCGGGAGTGGCGAGGAGACCAGTTGGACTGCTTGGGCACAGATTTGTCTTGGGAGCCAGGGCAGGAAAACAGGTGCGGGCCAATGCAGGGAAGGTCTTGGTAAATACACGAAGGTGTTTGAACCTTACCACGCAGAAGATGTGGGGACCTGGGGACGGTTTAGGTAGACGTGTCGGGGAGGCGCTGGCTGCTACCTGAGCCTTCTGGTGGTGTCAGTCCCAGGCCCTCCTGTTTTGCCTGAGACTGCCTTACTCATGTCCTATTTAACAAATGTTGATTTAGTCTCTACCTTACACGCCTTAAGCTCTGACAGCAACCCCTCAATAGTAAAACAGTCTCTGCCCTAATACACGTTCTTAGTATGAAAAATGTTGGAGCCCAGGGCATAAAACTTGTATACAGATGGCTAAATGGCAGACAGAAGCAAACCCCACTGAGGTGCAAACAGAGACACAGTGACCCCAAGAGTGCAATGCAACCCTAAAGGCTCCACTGTTGCAGCCCCTCTTTCCTAAAACCCTTGTGGCTTCCTTCCATTTGCGGGACTTATTCACAGCTTCCTGTGATTAAAATTTTTGCATGTTTTGGTCACTGAAGAAAGAGGAGGTGAATTATAGTTGTTTATTTATTTAAGAGTTAATTTTCCCCTTCTTTTTATACAAACATATAGGATAAACCTGCCCCTCCAAAACAAGATAAACCTGGCTTACATTTTCTTGTCCTAGCCTATCTTTACTGGCATGCATAAATAAATGCAATCCATGTGTACTAGTTAGAAAATTCACACTGAACAGAAAGACACTAAACTAAGAGTAGAACACTCCCTCCTCCCTCTTGCTAGTGTCTGCCCTTCCAGCTTAACACCATGCACTCTCTTATGGCTGCTTTCAGGACCCCCTACCCCATGCCCACACCATTATGTATTTTCTCTTCCTTCCTTCTCTCTACCCTCCTCCCCCACATGCTTTTCAACTCTGGGTGCAGAAGAGTCCATGTGTTACCAGAGGCCTTTTCTCTGAGGTTAAGGGCTTTGAGAAGGAGGAGAAAGCTCATGTTGGCTCTCTGGGGTTAGAGCTGTGTGATTTCAGTGGGGAGGAATGGGTGAAGGGTGTGAAGCCAGCAGAAAGGGGGGTTGGAGCAAGGGTTGGACAATCTCTGCCAGGAAACAAGCCAGACTGTGGTGAGGTAATGCGCGTGCTTCTTGCTATAGTTTGTTAAAGTTAGAAGACCATTGGGACCCCAGGGTTTTTTTGGGGGTGGGGGTGCATCATGCTGTCAGATGTGGAGACTGCAGCTCTGGAAAGAAATCCTGCCTTTGTTTTTGTTTGATCCTCTATGTGGGTCTGAAAGTCTCACATGTGGGAAGTGAAGGTCCTTTTCCCTCCATTTAGGATCACCTCAACTTAACATTTCTCCCTTACATTCATTGTGAGAGGAGGCCTGCCTCCAGTTTTGGTCTCTGTCTTGAAGGAAAGGCACAGCTGTGTCGAGTTATTTATATTCTGTGGGCTCCAGTTTTCCTAGTCCAGCATGGTCTCTGAGGCCATTTCCTATGGTGAGGGCAAGCAAATGGGGTTCTGAGTTAGAAGACAAAGGCAGGTCCCTTCGATGTCTGGTGCCACTGTTTCCTTACCTGTAATGTGGCATTAATCATAAAGTGGGTGTGATGATCAAAAGAGGGAAAGTGCTCCTTTAACTGTCAAGCACTGAGCGAGCATTAACTTGCTAGAAGAATTGGGGGAGGCTAGGGCTTGTCTCCCAGGGTAGAACAACTTCTATGACTAAGATATCATTTTCTCCCTTTAAATAAACTTTATTTTATACTGTACATAAAATAAAATTGTACCTTCCTAAGTAGACAGTTGAGGGGACATCTGCCATTGTTACTGACCTGTTGTACCTCAATCAGGACAGAGAATGCTTCCATCCCTTAGAAATCTTCCCTAGCATCTCTTTGAATCAGAGCCACTTCTGGCCCTGGGTGTCTGCCAGTATAGATACAATTTTCCAGAATTTCATATCAACTCTGGGATCTGGCTTTTCCCCTACAGCATGATGCTCCCAAGATCCACATGTCTGCTATTTTCTTCTTTTCATTGCGGAACAGTATTCCCTGTATGGATGCCCTAGGACATCATAAGCAATTCAAAGTCAAAGCTGAAAATTCTCTGCTTTGATCTTATAGGAGCCATAGGCCTCATAGATGACTGTATCTCCAAGGACTGGCATCTTCATTCTGTTGTCAGGGAGGAAAACTGAGTCTCTACAGCCTGGGACCTGGGTTTCCTCTTGATCTCAGCAGCACCATGTTTGTATTATCCTCCACTTACATCCCCAGCTGGCTCCTTCCTGACTGGGGATAAGGCAAAATTACACCAAAGTCTTTTATATCCGTAAGGCTCTGGTTTAGACACAACTTACATCACCTGGAGGGTAACTCAGTAAGCTGCTGCTAACCACTACGTGAGCATAAGTGCAAATTAATTTATCAGATTAGTATCAGGTCTCCCAGCAAAGGCTTCTGTGGATGGAATGCAAACAACTTTGTTGGTTACTCAGGGCTGGGCCACACTGTCAGGCAGCAATATTTGGGAGACTGTGTGGGCAGTGGGAGGGAAAGAACCAGCTCTCCTCTGTGCAGTGTTCTGGTGGATTCCGCACATCTTTGATCACAAATCTGGCTTGGTCTTTCCTTTTCCTACTCATCTGTGCTCTACCTATCTCTCCTCTGATCCTGATTTACTATCAGGTACAGGGGCGGGGATAATAATAGTTACCATTTATTACTGCACCTACGCATGCTGTGGGGCACTTTATGTACATTATTTCACTTACTTCTCACACCAACCTTTTGAGGAAGGTATTATTAATCCATTTTATAGATGCAAAAATCTGAGACACAAGTTGTATAAGTTATTTGTGCAAAGTTAGTCAGTTGGAGACCCAGAATTAGAACCCAGCTCTGTGTGACTCCTGGGCCTATGATCCTACCTATCCCCTATTCAGGGCTTCAAGAGGCAAAGATGTTGGGGAATACCTCACTTTTGTTTTGAGCCTCCTTTGCCACCCCAGGTAATGAGCATCCCTATCCAAAATACTGTGCATTAGATTTGTTTGGCTATGAAATGGAGCCATCTGAAATGTTTTATTTGGTGTCTGAGCTCTTTCTTTACCATCATGTGTGTGAGATTTATTCACAGACTTGTGTTCACTGAAAATGTATACTTCATTTCATCTGTCACATGAAGAACACCTTATCTTTAAAAGCCTCCTTATCAATGGTTAAATGCTTTATACTTAATTTGATATGTAGCTCATCCTGTGACACCCTCAGCCATGTTATGATGAAGCAAGGAGGCCCTCACAAGATGCAAAGCAGAAGCTGGTGCCATTGTTTTAGACTCCTACCTTCCAGAATTGTGAGCTAAATAGATTTCATTTCTTTGTAAATTACCCAGTCTCAAGTATTTTGTTACAGAAACTAAAGAACAAACTAAGACAGGAGGTAATGATGTCAGTCAAAGACACCTAGTTCACAGCATAGAGACAAGTATACATCTACTAAAGTGTGTGGGCAAAACCCCGTGGGACTACTATATAACAATAGGATATAGCATTTTCACTTTTGTGTCCACCTGTACAGGTTTACTTGCAAGATAAGTTTGAGGAAATCAACAGCGAAGTTTGCTGGAGGAAGAAGGATGCTGATTAGCACGAGCCCCTGGATTAAACAGTTTGTTTAGATGGAGCTTGAATCTCAAAAAGTGGCCAAAGAAAACTGACAGAAGAGCTAAGAGAAATCACTCCTGATCCATTTACATTGTGAAGCATTTAGAAAGGAAACACCACTCTACTGTTTGGGGGATTTATTGCATTTTTCCCTGAATTTGCTTTTTAAATCCTGCATCTGTCTCTGTAATATTAAGTTTCTCCAAAGCATTCGGTTTGTGCTGGGGTCAGAGAGTGGAGAAACTGTGATGTTTCGCTGCATCTCAGAATAGCCTGTTCAGCAGAGGACACTCACAATGAATAATGGAGAGACACAGCCACAGAGAGGAAGGTAGAGCTGATTCTGGGGCTGATGGGAGGGAGAAAGGGGGTTGGTGAGGGTTTTCTTGGGTTGTGTATTGCACTCAAGTGTATTTAGAAACAAGCCTTTGCTTCAATACCTTCTTCCTTCTTTCTCGACAGATCTCACCTCAAAGGAAAATAAAGCCGATTCACAATCATCCCAATATTTCAGTTGTTTTCTGGGCCAGTTAAGTGAGAATGTGAAGGGGCTGTGACTTCCAACTCCTCGTGATGACATCTGCATGTGTCTCATGACAGCACGGTGTTGCTGCTGGGACTTGTTTGCCTGTTTGCCTGAGAAGACAAGAGTTGCTGACCTCAGGAATTAATGCTCACGCTGATGCTCGAGCAGGTGGGAGGGTGGGAGGGAGAGGAAGAGAACGAGTGTGTCTTAGTGAACAGGGAATGTCAGAAATTTAATAAGATCAAGTCAAGACAAGTGTCAAGCACTGGAACCGCTATAGAATATAGCCATAGTTTGGATTCCTTGTCAAAAGTTGGCCATTTGGATCTCAGGAAGGGAAGAGGAAATGACAAATCCACTATAGCTTGAAGTGGACTTTAGCTAGCATGAAAGAGGTGGCAGAAATAAATCATCAGCTTTGTCTTCCAGATTAAGCCAGCTTAGTTTATTTTAAAAATGTACAATTTCATTGCTAGTCTGAGCTAGACTTTCTAGGAATTCATTTTGACAGAGAGCTGGGAAGAAAAGTGGTACAAACTAATTTATCTTTAAAAATTACAGGTATGGGCCAGGCCTGGTGGCACACGCCTGTAATCCCAGCACTCGGGAGGCTGAGGCAGGAGGATTGCTGTGAGTTCGAGACCAACCTGGGCTACATAGTGAGTTCCAGGTCAGTCTCAACTACATAGTGACACCCTGTCTCACCCCTCCACCCCCCCAAAAAAAATTACAGGTATGGGATCTCCTTACTGGATGTGAATTGAATTTTTCTTAAATTTTGTTTTGAAATACTTATTTATCAAGGGATCCTAACAGGAAATTTATAATTTCTTTTCACAGAACCTAGTTAGAAAGTTACTATTATAAAGTAAGCACATAAATACATGCACTTTTTTATTTGTACATAGAGATAACAACCCATCTTTGATAAGAAATGAATGTACAAAAGTCCAAATCTGTGTGTTTAGAAGGAGTCTAGGTTACAGGTCAAAATGTGAGAGCCACCTAGTGAGATAAATTGGTAAATGCATCTTCAAATTCCAGGTATGCTATCCATGGATAATTTCTGTTCATAACATCTTTGCATATCGTGGGAATCTTTGTCAACATGATGTGAAAACAATAGCGATTTTTATACATTTCCATTATTATAAAGATGTCTAGATTTTTAGATAGAAGGTAGCTTTCTTTTTCTTTCTGTTATACTGAGGATTGAACTCAAGTTCCTCATAATGAGCTATCTCCCCATTCCTTTTTTGAGACAGGGTCTCTCTATGGTATTCAGGCTGGGTTTAAACTTGCAGTCTTACTGCCTCAGCTTCACACACTGCTGTGATTACAGGCATGTGCCACCACACTGGGTGAAAGTAGCTTTCTTGACTTTATCATTCCAGTAATGATAACCTTCTGACCTTGTCACAGTGTCTTATTATTGGGCTTTCTGCTTTAGACACATAAAAAGCAGAAACCAAGTCTTCTAGCAGGTGCTGGCTAAAATGAAAAGTTACTTTCCTGTGTTTATTAGGGAGTGGGCTAGGGAGAGCTGCATAATTATGCTCAAGCTGGCCTTTTTAGGCTAAAGCTGTTGCATCCTCTGGACAGGACATCAGTTAGGAAAAAGTGGATGAAGTTTTCCTTTCTTCATTCTTCTTTTCTTGTTCTCCTTTCCTCCTCCTTCCATTCTCTCTCTCCCTTTCTTTCTGTTCCATCTCCCTCTTTGCTTTAGTTTACCACGATTCTTGGGAATTCCTATATATTAGATTGAAATTAAGCCTGAAATGCATTATATTTTGTGTTTTATTTACTTAATTTTTGTTTGTTTTGAGAGCAAGTGGGGGTAATGGAGAGAGTGCTAAGTAGCCTTGGATTCAGGTTCAGCAGAATCCTGGCTCTCTCTGTCTCCCACGTGTAAAATGCTTGTCATTTCTCAACCTCTCTGAGACTGAGCATCTTCAGAGGATTCATTATCTTCTATGCTCCCATACCCTTGATTTCTATTCTCCCATACCCTTGGTGGCAGGGAGATGTATCTAAAAAGAAGACACCTTTGGCAGAGGTAGAAGCAAAGAGCCCTAGGAATACAGGAAGCTTAACGTTTGCAGGATAAAGGTGGCAAAAGGTGACCTTTGTATTGGGCCTGACAGTGTGAATACAACTGAGTAGTTGTTGTTGTTGTTTGGTACTGGGGATCGAATTCAGCACCCATACCCTTGGTGGCAGGGAGATGTATCTAAAAAGAAGACACCTTTGGCAGAGGTAGAAGCAAAGAGCCCTAGGAATACAGGAAGCTTAACGTTTGCAGGATAAAGGTGGCAAAAGGTGACCTTTGTATTGGGCCTGACAGTGTGAATACAACTGAGTAGTTGTTGTTGTTGTTTGGTACTGGGGATCGAATTCAGCACCTTGCACTTGCGAGGCAGGTGGCTGCACCATACAATGGGGTAGTTTTTATTTATTCATGCAATGAAAACTTTACCAAGCCCCGTGAGCTGAGAACCATTCTAATCACTGGTGATCCAGCGGTGGAGGACAAAGGAGCGCCTTCACAAACCTGGCCTCACCAAGCTGACATTCTTGTGGGAGAAGCCAGACAGTACCTAAATAAATAACAAAACCTGTTTATCAGATGTTGATAAATACCATACTGGAAGAAATATTAGAGCAGGGTAAGGGACCTTGGAATAATATGAGGCATAGTGAGTTTTGAATTGAAGAGGACTGAAGGGGAAAAGGAATGAGCTATGGAGATTATGGAAAGGAAAAGCAACTCAGGAGGAGGAAACCACCCCGTTGCCCAGGGCACGCATGCAGATGGCATCTGTACAAGAGTGGGGAGGCCAGGGAAGATGGTGGGTATTGGGTGAAGAGAGCACACACAGGGCTTTCCAGGTGTTCTAAAAATTGGCTTTGAGCAAGATGAGGACCATTATAGGGAGTCTAGTCAAAGGAGGTGCTTGTTCTGATTCTTCCAAGATGGGATCACTCAAGCTGTTGTGCAAAGATAGGACAGTTTGGAGCCCAGGTAGGGACCGGTGCAGAAGCAGGGACAGTTTAGGAAGCTGCTGTCTTGGCTAAAATGAAAGAGGAGATGGCATGAAGCAGGGTGTTAGTGGGAGTGGGATGTGTGGGCTGGTGAGAGTCAGCAGAGGTTGTTTCAGGCCCAGGCAGGCAACAGCTTCATAATCACACAGTGGGAAATGGCACTGTGCCCAGGGACGGCTGCACAGCACCTTGTAAGGCTGGGCTGAGGTGCCAGGGAGAAGGGAAGGGGAGCTCCAGAAGGCCGGAGGAGGCTGGGCCTGGGGACCGGCTTGTGGAGTCTGAACATTCATTTCTCCTAACCCAGAGCCAGAGAACACACAGATGAGCGTTCTGAGCTCTGGTAACCAAATTGAAGAAAGGCGGCAGGAAGTGGAAACTGGGCTCAGAGAGACAGTGGCCCAGTGAGGAAAGAATAAGGGCTCAAACTTGAGCTGTCCTCGGAGAAGATGGGTGGAGTCATGGAGTTACATGCAATGGTGAGAGACTTTGATGGACTCCTTTTGAAGTATGATAGGAGAAATAAAAACGGGGTAGAAAGGAGACAAGGAAATTGAGATTTTAAAATTGCACTTTTAAGAAAAACTGCAGCTTCCAGACATAAAAGTTACACAAGCCTTTTTTCCCTTTTAGGAAATCCATTCAACAAAACAAAATTCCTAAAGATTTTTTTTTTTTTTTACAACAAGGCTGTGAATCTGGGCTCTTAACCTGTGCTTTTCACCTGTAAATCGTGCGCCTGGGTCCTCCATCTTTAGGAAGCAGTAATACTGGCAGCAGGCAGCAGATCTCAACCTCATACGTGTGTAGATAGCTTGTCTTGCAACCTGACAGACAGTAAAAATACACAAACTAGATGATTCATCTTGAAGACACTCCCTTAAATGCACCCAACTCCTGCTCTTAATGCGTCTCATTTCTCCATTCTTGAGTTCATCCTGATAAACTCTTCTCTGGCCTTGTATACTATTGGGTCCTAAAAATTCTTTTTTCTGTACAGGAGTCAGTGAACCTGCAAACATCTTTTTAAAAAGATAGCATGAATTCCTTATTTCAGCCCTAAGGGCCTCTCAGACCCAGCCTGCTGACACTTCAATCATATTGGTAGAATTTTCATCCGGATTTTTTTTTTCGTTAAATGTATCTCAGTGTGAAAGTAGGGTTCTTGGATAAACTTCTGTCCCTGGGGAAATGCTTTAGAAACCATGATGCTGAATTAGACTTTTGTTTGGCCAACTGGAGTGTCTGTGCTGGGAGGACTTTGAGAAATGGGGTTGGCAGTGGAGAAGGAGAGGCATGGAGCTAGGCAGGCCTTGAAGAAGGTAGTGGGGAGAAGACAATGGAGTAGGTTCAGACTCGTCAAATGCCCGGGGAGAGGAATAAGGGTAAGAACAGCCAACGTAGTTAAGGGAGACATAGATGGCGACTATGAGGTGCAAAGAACAGGTATGGGCATCTAAGTCAGTGTTTTCTGTTCTGCTACTTGCCATCTGGAAGGGGCATGAAACAGGTGAAATTTCAACTAAGCTCTGCAGTTTTCCGCCTTTTTCTCTGTTTAATGTGTTCGCTTCCTGCTGTGTGCTCTTCTGATCTGTGCCCGTGCCTCTGAGCTTCTGCTCTGTGACGTGAGCTTGCTTCATACCCTCCCTCAGCCTCACTGCACTGACCGGAAAGGTCAACGTCCGTCTCTCTCTTGCTTTTTCCCATTGTCACCCTCAGGGCTCGCCTCTCCCACAGCCCTCCTGGTGGGGCGGGCCTTCTGCTAAAAGTTTATCTGTCCGGAAGTGACTCTGACGTTTGTCCAGCTCTTTATTCACCCTTTGCTCTCTTCTGAGGACTTGTCTCCTTTTGGTTGATCACTTGTCCAGCCTGGAATACAATCCTCATTGCCTTTTTGCCACTCCCAGACCTTAAAAATACGCATTTACCTTGTCATTATCGTAATGTTCATGACCTTATCACTAAGACTTTGTGAAGCAGCTGAATGTAACTGGTCTGTAGCAAGAGCAGTGAAGAGGTGTAACTATTGTGAGAAGCTCCTCTGGCTTTTGAGGAGATGGGAGTCTAACGCCAATATTACTATACAATGCAAGGGGCCAAATGTCCTAGATTTTTTGGTCAGTCCTGAGTTTGCTTTGCGCTTTGATCATGTCCTTTTCTTGCCATGTGAACTTAGAGAATGTTTGATCTCTCTTGGCTTTGAGCAGGCATAAGATCTTACTTGAGATCAGAGGAAAGATTTTCCAATCTCTTAAGGACCCTCCCGTGATGTCTACGTGACTCCTTGAAACAAAGTCACGACTGACCCAGGAACACTTCAGAGCAATTCTCACATTCTTAAGGAAAATTTCTGCAAAGGCACAGAGGTCAGAGAACAAGCTTTCAAATGCACACTACTGGGCAGGGAAGTTAGAAGCAGGCTTGGCTGTACACCTCTCCCAGTGGCCTGGGTCCGAGCACTGGTAGTCCTACAGTTTCTGTGTCAGTCAGAACTCCACATACTCTGCAGTTTAATCTTATGAGAATTTATGTGATTCACTTATTTTATAGATAAGGAAACTGAATTCCAGGGAGGCCAAGTAACCAACTCAAGGTTCTGCATCTGGTAATGACAAAGGTCACCTTCAAACCCAGGTGGTCTGAAACCAGAATTCAGGCTCTTAGGCACCCACCACACGTAACACTTGCCGATCCATGTGGACACCAGGAGTCTTCTTTATGTGACTATTTTGGTAGTGATGAGCAGGTTCTTGGGATCCTGGGGTTTACACTATTCAAAAATACAGGAGTGATACAGAATGTTGCCTCCCTGGATTCCTGAAAGGCATAAATTTTGAGTCTAGGTATGGAAAGAGTGAAGGTGTGTGAATACTCATAAGATCACTGGTCTTCATTAAAGCTTTTTCAGTATGTTCCCTTCCTGATGAGATGCCTGTGTGAAGGGTGCTTCCTATGGAAAACAGGTCTCTGCAATCACTTAAAGGATCTGCTATCCAAAGTGGGTGGAAAGAGCACATTCCTTGGAGGTGGGACTGTTCATTCTGCCACGCTGGGGAGAGGCAGGATGCTGGTAGGGAGGTGAGGTTATGGGCACAGGCAAAGTAGCAGCTCAGATGGACAGCAACAACAGGGAATATGTAGCTGTGGGAGCAGAGCCCTGAACAGCTGTGTGGGGGCGTGGAGACCCGTAGAGGGCTGGGTCTGGAGACCAACAGACCAGCTGGCAGGGTGCACAGAGCCTGGTGCCATAGAGATGTGTCATTTGTCCCTCAGGCTGTGAGGACCTAGGGAGTAACTGTTAGCCTGGGTACAGTTTGATCTTTTGTGTAGAAAACATCCTTCTCAAACTGCAATATAAAAGTGAGCCAGATTATTGTTGTAGTCACTTTACCAAATGATGAGTTCTAAGTGTTTTGCTGTACTTAACATTGACAAAAGGCCCTTGAACTTCTGAGAGGGGGCACTTTGGGTTGCCCATAAGCCCTGAGATTGCTATGGTTCAGTCACCTTTGTCTTGAATGTGTGTATTTTTATATAATCGATATCATCTGTGTACATTTTTCTGAAGCAGATTTCTTTTTTCCTTTCTTCTTTCTTTCCATCTATTCTCCTTCCTTTCCACCAGAGGTCAAATCAGTGGGTCTGCCAGACCCTGGACTTTGGAACCCCCAACCATGGGCTAAATAAAACTTTTCTCTTTGTAGAAGGAATTATTTTACTGTAGTACCATGGAGCTGCCTAATACAGCTCCCTTCTTATAAAAATATTGGAGAACAACCCCTATTCACTGCTGAAATTAAATTCACAAGTGATATAATTTGTCTAAAATGTGATTAAAATGGTAATGTGAAGATATAAAGGAAGCATCTTTATAATAAAATAATATTCACTTTGGTATAGAAATGCCTTGGGCACACCTAGTAGATGATACGATGAAGCAAACAGATGCTTGCCCTTATATGTAGACTCAAGGAATGCCAAGCTCTGAATCACAGACAGATTTAAATGTGTTCTGTTGATGATTTAAATGCGATGGGTGAGGGCTGGGGATTTGGCTCAGTGCTTCTGCTGCGTGCCTCGCAAGTACAAGGTCCCAAGTTCTATCCCTGGTACCAAAATAAATAAATAAATAAAAATAAATAAATGCTATGTGTGAGGTTGTCATCAATTTTATGACTTTTTCTGAGATGTTCAACAACTCATGGTAAAGATTCAAACCAAAAAAAGCTCCAAAGTCTCCAGATTTATGTGGTTATTCCATTTTTTAAAAAGTGATTACATATTAAATTGTGTTTGTATGTAGTGTAGATGAATTCTTAGCTCAGATGTTTTGCACCCACATAAATGTCTGATAGGAAATCTCAAGTCCTTGATGGGTGGGGAAAGTTTTTCATCATGTGGGCTACCTCTCAGCCCCGACCAGTGAATGCCAACAGTAATCCCAAATGCCAATTGTAACATACTTTTTCCAAATACCTCTTAGGAGGCTGGGACTGTCCTCATTAAGAATCAATGACTTAATGATGATATTTATTCTTTTTTTTCTTCCCATAGATTTTTAATATTAGGAGTAAAGCACCAAAGAACATTTCTCTAGAGATGTCAGAATAATTGTTCAGGAGAGATAAGTCCCATGTTGTTTCAGCTAAAGGGACTCGTGCTGAGGCTGGAACATGAAGCATGCGTTTTAAATAGGAGACTCTTCCTGCCTTGCCTTCTCTTTCTCCTCTTTAGATGGTTTCCAGACCTAAGCTGGAGCAGGTCTTACTTAACCTAGAGAACACTGAGCCCTGGCTTCCTTCCTTCTCTGGGAATCCAGCTCTTTTTTGGCGGGGGGCGGGGGGCTGCATTTTCCTGCCCTTCCCTGGGAAGGAGACACACTCATGGTTCCAAAGAGCTCATCCTGCTCTTCCACAGAGGGTCCCCTCAGGAATCCTGACTCAGCTTCTGTAACTTAATGTGCAATTTCAGTTGCAAGGTTCAGCCTCTGTCGGGACACGCCTTTGTTGGGTACCCCACTACCTGGACAAATGACAGGTTTAGAATAGAAGTAAAAGAAGTAATAGTTGGATTTTGATGAAGGAGGAATCTCAATTATGCATATTGAAAATTGCAAATGTCTTGAAGGCATTTTTTTTTTTTTTTTTTTTTTGCAGAGGCAGTGCTATGGTTTGGACGTGTGCCTGATTTTCATGTGTTGGAAACTTAATCCCCAGTGTAACAATGCTGAAAGGTGGAACTTTTAAGAGGTGATTAGGTCTAGAGGACTCTGTCCTGATGGATGGGTTAATGTCATTAGCATTAGAGTGAGTTCTGTATGAACGTGAGTTGGGCTCCCTCTTGTCCTCCCTTGCCCTTTTGCCTTCTGTCATGGGACAAGGCGATATGAAAACCTAAACCATTCTCTTAGACGTCCCAACCTCCAAAACTGTAAGAAGTAAATTTCTGTTCTTTATGAATTACTCTGTCTCAGATAGTCTGTTATAGTGACACAAATGGACTAAAACTGACAGTAAAATTGTCTCAGAAAGACTGAAAAGGAAAGAGACTGAAAGGAAAGACTGAGAAGTTCTCAGAGACTGACTGGGAAAGAGGAGCCAGAATCCTGGAAGCTCATGCTGTCAGGGAACTTTGCATATTTTTAGTCTGATATTTGGATGTGCATTCTATGGGTAAAGAGCCTTTTAGGAAACCGCAAATGAAGCAGGATGCAGCTAAATGCTCTGAAAGAAAGAAGCAGGAATTCAAGTCACTAACAGACACTGCTGTAAGATCAGAGATTTGTTTGTTAGTAAGACGTAGAAACTACAGTCTTTTTCTAAAATGAGTAAATACTTTGAAGTAGGAATGTGGTGGGAGAGTTTCCCTTCAGAAAAGAGAAAATAATAGATAATTTGCAAGATTTTGTTTCTTTTGCTTTGTATCCATTCTTTTTCCATGTTATGCCTCTTTTGCTTAATGAATATATCGAGCTTAACAATATAACAAAAGTATCTTTATATAGATTAGCTCAACAAATATTCACAACCTTGGCAAGTGTTTATTATTACAATTGCATACAATAAATTTGGAAAAGAGGGAAAGACTTATCCTAGATTGCACTGAGAAAGTGACAGAAATAAAACTCAAGGTCAGTTCTTAATCTGAGCTATTTGTTCTTCACACCTAAACCAGCTTTATTTTTTAAACTTGTAGAATGTAATGATGAAAGTCCCCTTTCTGTGACTTTCTTTGAAAGGTAATACTATTTTCTTAGGCTGCTTCTAAAGTTTGTGTGCCTGGACATATTTACCCATTGTCACACCTGGTTAATGTGCAATGTTACAGAGAAGAGGAGAAAGCAGGAGGTGAGAAGCACAGTTGTTAGTTACTCAAAACAGCAATCCTGACTTGATTTAATCACTGACAAATGGCAAGGAGAGACAGTGGGTTTCTTTTGGATCTCCCAGGCAAAGGGAAATGACTGTATGTGGACATGGTATCACAATGCCCTGGTAGAATTGCAGCACTGTATTTTCCTAATAACAAAGTGGAACTGTCTACTATGAATCTAATAGTGAAGAGCAAAACTGGAGCACATGTGGCATTCTTAAATGAAATTAAATGAGAAAATGATGGACTTGAATGTGGTTAGCACAATCTCAGCCACATATTAGGCTTTCAAAGAAGGCTAGTTAGTTCAGCTTGAGATTCTATTGTGTTTCTGGAGCTCCTTAGTATCTTATGATTTTTGAAATATATTTTTTTCTAGGGTTGGAGGTATAGAGGACTTATCAAGCATGTATGAGGCTCCGGGTTCTATAAGCAGCATATATTTTTTTTCTCTTTTTTTACTTCTACTTTTGTTTCTTTAGTCTCATGGGAGAAAAAAATGAACTCATTTAGCAACCTGCCACCCTTCCTGTGAGCTCAGCGCCCACCTGCTAGGGGGTCTACATTTTCTACACCCAGTGTTTCCACAGCCACCCTGCCCTTCCTCCCTGGTAAACACCCAGCTGGAAACATGACCTGGTTAGGCTCACTGAAATTCCTTTTTCCTTCATCTCTGCACATACAGACAAAGAAAATGATGGGGATTTCCTGTGGGGATTTTCAGGAGAAGCGGGAACATTGGGATCGCTTTTTTTTTTCCCCTCCAGAATCCTCTTCTCCATTGATGTTAAGTGGCAGTGTGTGAATTTCCACATCATTTTGGGACAGCAGCAGATTCCCCTTCATTTGCCTTTGTTTTATCCTCCCCCCACCCAGCTCTCAGAACCTCACCAAAGTGCTTGGAGGTCAGCATGCTTGGCCTCACCCCGGGAGCAAGCTTCTTCATCTGGGCTTCAGGAAGGGGTGTGACGAGGAGCAATGGTGGGGGCTGCTCAAGGGTGCAGGACAACGCGGGGGACAGTGGGGAGAAAAAGTCAGGAGAAAACTCAACAAGGGAAAAACGAAATCTTGATTATGATTTTTTTAGCAAAATGATTAAACCCTTTCAAAACATGACTCATGCTAACTTCTGCCCTTTCTTTCTCCAAATGGTTATGAAAAACATATACTTGGAAGGTTTTAATGAAATGATGAGTAATATTAGATCATCATGATTCTTGTTCATAGGGGACAGCAGTCCAATACTCAACTGCAAGAGGAGCACGAATCCTTGCTTCTAGGACTTACAGACATTGACAAACCCCAAGTTTAGAGACTTCCCTGGGCTGTCTTTTTTCATTTAAAAAAATTATTTTAATAAAAGTTATATCTGTATCTAGTCCAAAGAGCAAGATATTTCTGCAGTTGTTTTGTAAAAACATAGTGGTTCTTGCTTTCATTCTCTTGCATTTGCCTGTTCCCTGGGGCAACTGCTTTCAGCAAATTTAGCTGGTGCGCGCGAGAGAGAGTGTGTGTGTGTGTGTGTGTGTGTGTGTGTGTGTGTGTGTGTTTCCTCTAAGCTATATGCAAATTTAGCTGGTGCGCGCGAGAGAGTGTGTGTGTGTGTGTGTGTGTGTGTGTTTCCTCTAAGCTATATGCCTGCATTGCTACTTTTGATTTTTTCAGTCTTGGGCATACTTTCAACTCTGAAATATGAAACCATGGTTCTTTCTCACTCTTATCCTGGAACCTCTGTCCTGACCCTCACTTTTCCAAGTTTCATTGTAATGTTGGCTGAATCCATATTCAGTGTTTAGAATACTATAGCAATGTAAAGGAAACATATATTAGATTTCAATTACTTTTTCTTTTGTGTACAAATTTTGGGGTTCTGTCTATGTAACAATTGCCTTGTTTTATTTGCTTTTCACTCTCAAATGCTTTATCATTGGTCTAAAATCCTTCCCAGTGATTTTGCATGCATCATGGGTATTGAAGTTTTATTTGCTGGAGAAGGTCCCTCCTAAGCCTCCTGTCCTGCTCCAGCCTGGACTTGTTCCCATGCTCTGTGTACTTCCCTCTAAGCTGAGATCACTTTTATGATCACTTTGGTGGTACCCTTTGCCTGTCCCTCATCCTGGCTCTCATATTGCCTGTACTGGGTCTTCCTTTATATTGATTTGCTCTCTAGCTTTGGAGGATGTATCCTCCAGGAGTTTCCAGGAAAAGGGGACAAAGAAAATAAACAGTTTTTGGAGACTTTGCTTGCCTATAAAATCTGTATGCTGCCCCTTGACTTACAATGGTAAGTCACAGTAAGTTGAAAACATCATCGGTCAAAAATGCATTTAATAAACACAACCTACTAAACATCATAGCTTAGCAATACAGTACTGTGTAGGGCTTTGGCTGTTCATTCTTGTGATTATGTGACTCACTACTGGCTGTGGTAACTGCTGCCACCACTGCCCAGCATCCCTACCCCAGGAAAAGACCACACTCCAAAAAAATCAAAGTATGATATCTATTGCATTGTCAGTGCTTTTGCACAAGTGTAACATCAGATAACCATAAGTTGAAACACCATAAGTCAGGGACCACTTGCACTTGAATACCCAGAAAGAGTTCTAGGTTAAAGGTAGTTTTCCTTCAGTGAGGCTAATCTCCGTTTTCAATAGAGTGCGCTCATCTCAAATGTGCTTGGTATAGACACAGCTCAGAGATCTTGTTTTATGCTCTTCAGAGAGTGTAGCTCCTCTTTTCCTGGGTGGTTGCCCAGTTACATAAAAAGAGAGTTGATCTGAGAGGCTGAAATTTTTTTTCTCAATACTAGGGCCTGGTACATCCAAAGCACCAGGGACTGAACTTGGGTCCTTATGATTGTGAGGCAGGCTATGAGCCAAATTCCCAGCCTGGAATCTGGATCTTAAACTGAATTTTAACCATTTTCCTTCAGCGGCACCTGGGATTGCACATCCCAAGCAAGTCACATTACCATTTTCCTTCAGCGGCACCTGGGATTGCACATCCCAAGTACAAGTCACATCTACTCTGATATTCCTTCTGCTCTTGTTGTAATCAGTTCTCATTGGTTTGTAAGACTTAAGCAACATTTCCACCTACTTTGAAGCTTCCCAAATGATTTTTATTTTCCATTTTATCTATTATTATGAATCAAAAGCCTTAAAATAATTTTAAATAATCTCTTTATAGTTAATTTAGAAGAGTTTTGAGGAGGAGGAGGGAATGTCCTTGTCCCTCTGGTTGACTTTTGGTTGAGAATAGCAGTTTCAGATTTTTTAAATTTTTTAACTTTTTTTGCAATGGGATCCTGACTTTGAAATCTTCTGTGGAAGCTCAGCCTATAAAATATCTATAAACAGAATAGCTCCGTTTGATGAGGGTTTGTGGTTTTCCTTTCTCAGTTCTCTTCTTACCCCTGCTGTTCTATGAAGACCCCATGGAAAGCATGCTGTGTAAACCCGTGACATAGAAGTTGTGGGACATGATTTACCCTGAGAAACATTGGACATCGAGTGAAGTTTATGATGTCATGGAAGGAGCACTGACTTGTTGTTTTAGAGATCAATTTTATTGCTCCTGATTGCTCAATTCATACAAGAAAAAGAGAAAACATTATAACAGATTAGAATAAAAGTAGACTGAGAATCTTTTGGCAGACTAATGCTACAATTGTAAAAATAACTTTTTTTTTTTTTTTGGTTTTTTGAGACAGGGACTTACTGTATAGTTGAGACTGACCTTGAACTCGCAATGTAGTCCAGGTGAATTCACAGCGATCCTCCTGACTCAGCCTCCCGAGTGCTGGGATTACAGGCATGCACCACCACACCTGGCTTTGTAAAAATAACTTTAAGGCACTGTTTTTTATTTGAAAGCAAAATGTGTAAATTGAATATGAAATAATACAAACTACCCTTACACATTTTGATAATTGAACATGCTAGGAATTTTCAAATTTACTTTCAGAAAGCTGAGATTCTACTTTATACTGGATTGCTAGTTGAACCAATGTTTTATCCTGAATTATTTACCTATTTACCTAAATTAGTTACTCAAGTTATTTACCTAACTATAAGAATGAGAAGAAGTCTACAGGGCCAGGAAAACAATATTCAGAGCTAATTCTGTAGGGAAATCATTGCATTTATGCATGGCTTAGCTTAATATTCAGTCTAGCTATTAAAAACATTGTTATTTCCTTCCTCTTCCACCTTTCCCTGGCACAGACCATCAGTTACCTGATGAGACTCTGGTAGAATGTGGAAGTGCATATGCACTCAAAGGCTGAAGGAAAATGAGCAACAAGATTTACAAGCCCTGTCAACTGGAATGTATATGGTCCAGTGCATTCTTAAAGGTAATAAAAACCAAACCAA